AATCTATATGAACTTACATTTGTTGGGTCTTTCCCTGGTTTATGGATTGGATTTATTAGTGCTTTTTTTATTTCATATGGGTATTCACCTTTTTCCCAATATCTATTAAAGATTTTTAGTATTATTTCTAATATGTTTTTAGGAGCATTTTTATAAAATTCGTATGTTATTTTATCAGGGCCGTATGCTTTGCCATTTTTTGTATTCTTTACAACATATTTTATTTCCTCTAATGTTATATTCTTATTTATATCATCTTCTTTATTAGTATTTAGTAATTGTTCTTTCTCTATATTTGTAAGAAGTTTTTTTGTTTGTTTATTTGTTATATTTTCATATTCTTCTTTGAATAGTTCTAGTTTTTTTGATATCTGGATAACTGGGAAGTTATTATTTATTAGAGGATATTCGCTTGTTGTTGATTTACCAGTCTGTTTTTTAATAAAGTTCCATACTTTTTTAGTAGGAGTTTTGAAATTTATTGAGGCACTAAACTTTTCCCATGATTCCTTTTTTTCTTTATCAATTGTTTGTTTAGCTTCTGTTGCTAATTTTTTATAATTTAGTCTATTTTGTATATTTGGTTTTCTCCTCCATTTGTTATATGCCTTATTTCTTTTTTTTATTATTTCGTTACATTTTTCATTCCACCATGGTTTGTTTGGTTTGTTGTTTATTTTTATACTACTGAATTTAAAATGTTTTTCTCCTGTATCTTTTATTAGTTTTGTTAGTTCTTCTAGTGTATTTATATTTATATTCGTTTGATTAAGTTCTGATTCATAAGCAGACCAACCTTCCTCTGTGAATTTCCACTTCTTTTCTAACATTTTTGTTGAGATCTGATAATTAACATCTTTTATTATAATTGGCAAGTGATCACTATGCAAATGCGGACCTGTTGTTATTATTAGATGGCTTACTGAGGGTGAGCCTATAACAAGGTCTAAGGTGGCTTCTCGATTTGTTTTTGGATCTATACGAGTTATTTGTCCTTTTGGTGTTAACAATATTATATTATTTTGATTTATCACTTCCACTAAGTTATTTCCTGTTATGTTATTTTGTATGTTTGTTTCTGGGTTCCAAATGGGATGATGTGCATTAAAGTCCCCTAGTATTAATTTTGGTTCTTGTATTTGGTCTAAATAATATTGAAATTCTTCTTTTGTTATGTTGTTACAAGGGTTGTATATTAGCATGATATCTATCCATTTTTCTCTAAATTGAATTTTTATTGCCATGATCTCAATTTTATATTCATATCTATCATTTATATCCAATTTTCTATACTGTACATCTTTCCTTACACATAACATTAGTCCTCCTCCAATTTGGTTTTCCCTATCTTTTCTAATTATTTCATAGTTATTTATTTTAAAGTTATCTTTATCTTTTAACCAGGTTTCGCTTATGGCGATCAGCCCCGGATTTTCTTTAAATATTAAATAATTCAGGTCTGTTTTTTTATTTTGTATTGAGTGTGCGTTCCAAGCTATTAACTTATTCATTAATCAATGACATTATTTGTTTTAAGATTGGGGTAAAATCATTAATTGTTTCCATAATTATTTTAAAAATTGTTTTTCCCGAGTTAATATTGGTCATCAGATTTGATATTGCCTTTATTATGTTTTTTGTGGTGATCATCCAATCTAAGTTTTCTTCTTCTTTTTTTTCATTTATCTTTTGTTTATGATTATGGGTATTAGTTTGGGGTGATTGGTATGAGTGGTGTGACTGTGTAAGGGGTGTGGGTAGTGAGTGTTGGTGTGGAGAGTGAGTAATGGGTGTGGGTAATGTCCATGTTATTGGGGATTGTTCTGGATTTATTAGTTTTTGTTTGTTTGTGTTTTGCAGTTTTGTTATCTCCTTTTGATTTGTTTGTGTGTTTGTTTCTGGTGTTGCTTTTAATTTTGTATTTTGGATTCTTTGTCTCGGGGGTGTTTTTTGTCCTGGTGTAATGTTTTTTGTTTGTGAGATTGTTTGTGCATAAGTTTGAGGTGTTTTTTGGTGGTGGCTTTTACTTTCATTTTTTGTGTTGTCCTGTGTTATTTCTTTAGTTACATTAGTGTTTTCTTTTGCTTTTACATGTGTTTCATTGTTTGTATTATTTTTAGTTTGTTCTGTAGTGGGTTTAAGTTGCTGTAATTGTTTTTTGATTTCTAAGTTATTTGGTGTATAATTGTTTTTGTTGATTTCTTGTGCTTTATTATGTATTCTACATAAGTTACTATTTGGTATATGATCACCTTCACATAAAAAGCAATATGGATTGTTGTTGCAATCTTTAAAATTATGTTCTGTACTACTGCATTTACTACATCTTTTTTTGTTTTTACACGTGAGGATCCCATGTCCATATCTGAGGCAATTGTAACACTTAGGTATCGGGAAGGTATACTGCTTTACTTGGTATGATGTGTGACCTATTGCTACCCTTTCGGGTAGTGGTCCTTTGAATGTTATTCTGAGTGATTTAGTTGGGATCCATTTTTCC